AATCTTTTTTTTTTGGGAGCTTGTTTAATTTCAACTAATCGATTGTTAACTCTTGGTCGAGTGAGATGAGGCGACTAGAGGGAAGAGACGTATCCATGACCCGAGTCAATAATAAAACATTTAGTGGGTAAGGAAGCGTGCCAACAGGAACGTCTGATTCATCGGGTTTATTTTACGTTCTCTTCAAAGCCATCGACTCTTCCTACTGCATTCTTCGTCTGACTCTTTTTTTATTCTGCTTTCTAACTCTTACGTTTGCCTCGTGTCAAATCACAGGTCGATGGCTACAATTTTTTATTTCGTTTTGCTTCGTAAGGCTTTTTTAGTGGGTTTTCTGATCAGGTACAATTATATTGAGAATTTCCATTAGGAGGGGACATTTTTTTTTCAAAGGTCAGAGAGCTTTTTGTGGAGTACAAAAGGCCTTTTCTCTTTGAGTACTTTTGTCTGATGGTAAAAATAGATGTAAAAGTTCATCTCTGGTTTTACATAGTCTTTTTTAGTAAATTGGAGTCGAGTTTTACAGGTTCTTGGGGATGATGTGCATTAGTTAAGGGAGGTGTAGTACTCACCTTGCCCTGCATGATGAGACGAATGGTGAGGGTGACCGAGGGGTCATCATTGAGCACTGGTTTATTATCCATACTGTCCATACCAGATCCAACTGTCTGTTTGATGTCTCGCGTTTGATTACGCTGGGATCCTCTGACACTTGGGGAAAAGGGAGCTGAGGAGGATAAGGACAGGGGTGAGGTGAGGCGTGTGATTTTGGCTGGGGGGGTCTCGGGGGACGTGCTTCTTAAACGATCCCAGGTAGGCTCTGTCTTCGCACTGCAAGCAAATTAAAGAAAAAAATTATTACTTGCGATCAATAAAACGATCACATCAATGAGGATTGATTAAGAGAAATGACCTTTTCATTCAACATAAGTGTCATTCTTATTTTTTTTTTCTCCTCTTTTGAAAATTCATAACAGCAATTCATAATTCATTAGTCGCTGAAACGGAATGTAAAGTGGTGCGAGAGAATGCAATCTTTTTGATATGCAACTGCTTCGTGGTTGAATAATTTATAGTTTCTGGTGAAGTGGGTCTTTTGAGTCGTAAAAGAACCGATAAATGGATTTGTTACGAAACGAGATACTTGGAGATGGGTTGTTTGTAGAGGTTGGGCAAAACGCTCGAGGACTTGACAATAATCGTTTATTTTCATTTTATCATGAATATCTAATTAGTTTTCACGGTTTCTAGTGTCAATCAAATTGTACTCTTAAAACAATATTTTTTAAATATTCATTTCTTATAAATTGAATTTTTATTCCATATTAAAATCAATGATTACTGCGATCAATAGACATTCAATGCTTCAGACAAATTAAGAATCAGAGAAAATTTTTTGGTACAGAAATTAATTTGAAAAAATCAAGATTGGCAGTGAGGAGAACTGGACTTGAATGGAAAAGTCTGGGGCTCAAGTTTGGGGTATCCTTAATCGTTTCGGGTCGCGTACGTCGCAATCCGACATTCCAGAATTTTTTTTTTACTGATAATGCTAATTGCGCGTTGCTGCATTCACCCAATCAATGAAGAGAAAGAGGGGAATGGCAAACTTCGGACACCCGGTTTTCCAGGAGAGCAGGAGGAAGTACCATGGAGGACAAGTTTGTAGAGGGGCGGACAAGTTCTGCCGGGTTTTGGTCCGTTACAACCAGCACTTCTCGCTTCTTTATACCGAATGCTCCCTCTCTCTCGGGTTACTCGCCTCTTGTCATAATGTTTTCTATTATTCTGGAGATAAAAGAGAGTTCTTGCTAGTTTATAGTGTAACCAGTTTTTCGTTTATTCAATCTTTTTTTTTTGGCAATGATTGACCTATTCGAGGGAGAGATACACAAAGCATAATCGTTAAAATGTGGAAATCATTCGGCTCCTATTTTTATTCTGTCGTAGACATCTGTTTGCAGGTATTTAACTCAATGATAAGGTTTACAGTCGGAAATTACACGATTTTTTTTTCACTGAAATAATCACAATTTCCACTTCCACGCCATTGAATCTCTGAATTCTCTTTCGATCAACAGAGCGGTAATAAAATGTTTAATCATTCGGAAAAACGTGAATATTGTAGTAAACAGTCGGTAATTGGCAGCAATAATTGTGAATGCAGGGATGAAAAAAAATAGAACCGAGTGGAGTACTGCATCATCCTCAAATGAAAAATAATCAATACGAACAAAAGAAACGGAGCCGACAACCCCCTGGCGATTACCATTCTTCCATACAGTAGAATTCAACACGGAAGAGATGAAAGGTGCAAATATTCGTTGAAATTCTTCCATAAGAAAGTTTCGGGATGAATGACCGAAAAGCTTGCTAGTATTCAATAAAAATAAAATGGAACGTTCGCACGATTTCCTTCCCTCCAATCATTCCTCGGAGAAATTATCTAAAACTTATGCGAGGCATGGGGTGAGGGGGGAGGGGAAGGGGAGGTGTTCAGAGTCGATAAAAATCGAGATAAAACCATTCCACGGTGACTATGACTGGGACGAGGGGGGGGTTATTGCATGCAGAAACGGGTTTTGCATTGCAACGGACACTTCGGAGTGAATTAACCACGCCGGCACATGGACGATGAAAAAATATCTTCAACTCACTGTTCACAGGATCACTATTTCCCTCCCCACAATTGCAATGAAAAATTGTCACTTGGACAAGTAAAAATAAATGGAGTTTTTTTGGAGAATAGTTAGAGTGGAGAGGGAGGAATTGTGGAGCGTGTAACGCCGGCGGCGTGGAAACGCTGCAATGGCGGTGTCTCGTTGTACCAATAATCGCAATACCAACTAACCCCAAATAAATCATATTAACAAGGCACTGGATAGAGACTATTGAATTATCACCATTTACCTAAATCCAGTGATGTGTGGTAGTTTGGAATGTCGAACGCCTCATTGGCACTCCCAAGGGATTCCTTTTTTTTTTGGTCCGATTTATTTACCCGAGCTTCACTGAATTTATTTGTCTCTCTCGGTGGGCTTCACCAATAACTACTGGGTGGTGGTACTTTGGTGCTGATGGGACCTGGGGAGAGGAGGGGAGTCGGGTGATTATTACTTTGAAAAAAAAAAAACGAAGTTTGTTGGGTTATAATATTCCAAGTGGCTGTCGGTGGCGCACTACACTAGCTGACGATACACGAGAAAAACTGCGAGCACTTTGATCAAGTGTAAGAGTGGTAAGAGTGTAACCGTAACGGCGCTACGTGCGTCTAGTCACTAGTGGCTGCTGTCCCGGACCCTTTCCTCCTTTACTCTCTTTCAAGGCTTATTTGGCTCATCTTCTCTCACTTTGACTAACACCCATTGGCTATTTCTCTCCTTCACCAACAGATGGAGATTGCAATGCGCGTGAGTATGCGCACATCAGTCGGCGGAGGTGGAGGGGAGTGGTATTTACGTGGTACGCCGATACCAGGGAGCGCTTTTCACTCTCATCTCATTGGCCACCTCAACCATTGGCCAACATTTCCCGCCACGACTCTAAATTACAACAATTTTTCATTTTCCACTACTTATCACTCCTTTTGAATAATTCGGTGAATATTTCGATTTCCTATAATACAAAACCTCTATATCTTATAGTGGAGAAATATGCAAGTCATAGATGTTTTGTTTATATTTTTTGTAGAGTTTTTATCACTTGGAAAATTTTAGAATTCTTGGAGAAATTGTAGGAGTTTTGTCAAGATGTAATTAAATTTTAAGGTTTTCGGATTTATTCTATTAGACTACAGACAAATATATCGGAAAATGAAATCAACTCTCCTCATTCAATTGGAAAATTTGAATGACTGTTGGAGTTAGGAGTTGGCTGGACTAATCAACATAATGTTATTAATTAAGTCCAGCTTATTGATGATTAATTGGAGTATCCAGGGAATGACATGAATGAATGACAATTGTGAATACTTAAATTAGCATGAAGCAGGTGGATAAAATGGTCTTGTTATCATGGTTAGTGGAAGATCAAGTGACGATGGCGATAGTAGATGGGGGGTCAGAATCAAACGAGTACTTGTGTATGGAGTGAACACTCACCTGGTGGCTTTATATTCAAAGGAAAACATTGAAAACTCAATTTGGCTCGTTTCAAAACTCATTTCACGCGGCAATTCAACTTCAACCATCGCCAATGTTTTACCTGTGTAAATGGCAAATGGGGAAATATTGTGAATTACCCTGAAAGGTTCGTCGCATTTATTTTTGATCTTTTTTTTTACCTTCGGGCGAACTTTTAGTCACATTGGGAGGGCGGAGAGCTCTCACATCTCCACTGGTCCAGCGAAAATTCAATTCCAAATCACTCTCCATTATTGATGACACGTGATTGATTTTCGTTAATTACCCCCGATAATTAATTAATCAGAGCAATGAGTGATTTAATTGCTATAAGTAGAGGATGCCATTGTTCGGTACAAGTATATCATTATTTTATTAGAAATATTATACAAGATCTGTGACATGTTTATTTAATGGAAAACGGTTACAAATACTTTTTGAAGCTTCCTAGTTTTTTCAGAGGGAATATTCCAGTGAAAAAAGTTTGAAATGAGGGGCTTTGGTCGTAGATATCGCTGACTTCACGATGACAAATCTCCAATCTACTATCTCCGTCTTTTCTGTGATATTTCCAAATAGACTAAAATCTCTAAACTCAATTTAACTTTTTTGTAATTATCGATTAATTTCAAAAACTAGTAGTTTTATCTCAAAATATTAACACTTTTTTTCGTACCTTTGTGATTGAATTTCTGGCAAAAAATCCTTGAGATATTATTTAATAATGAACTTTTCTCGCTTTCTTAGTTGTCTATTTAAATCAATCTAGAACATTCAGTTTCCGATTGATTTCTACCTGGTATTTGCCTCTCTTAAAAATAAAAAATTGATTTCTGAATGGATACGAAATGGAATGAAGTGTATATATATATATATTTCACAGAGCCCATTGGAAGATTCGAGCCCATCAATGTATCTCCACTCTCGAAATTGAAATATCTCCATCTCTCAGAAATGATTCGATGCCCATGAGGATCACGGGAGTACTCCTTTTGTAGGAGGAGGCATTGGTGGTGGATCGGTGATATGAGCCAAAATTATATGAAGCCTTGGGTGAGACTTCGCAAGAGAGTGGTGAGGGGTGGTAAGGGGGAGGTGAGGGGGATTACATAGGGGTTGTACGCATTACCGGAGGGTTTCCAGATCTCGGTACACACGAGTCGTTTTGGTGTCTGTAAAGGGGACCTCCACTATCACCCGAGATATGACGTAGGTGTAACTAACTGTTTGGAAATCGATAAGCCGGTAGGTGAGTACCAAGGATCGACAGACAAGCTCTTCATGCCTTTGCACCACGTCTTTTCATTGTATTTCACTGGATTATTAGGCTCTATCACTGACAGCCGCAATAGTATATTCATATTTTCAATCGACGCTTTGAATGCAATTCTCCATTTATTCAGTTACCCTTGATTGAGTATCGATTTTTTGAAAAGCCATTGGAACTATGCATTTGTCTCGGAAACCATTGATTCACGATTTATAATATATATTTTTATATATTAATAGTATATTAATCAATATTTTCCTTGAGAAAAGGAAAATAATTAGAAAATTAATTAATTAATTGTTGGGTTTCGGTCTTTACCAATGCATGAGTGCGATCATTATAAATGGATTAAAAGTACATTATTGTTGGAATAATAAACAATAGGCGGTTTATTGAACAGCGGTTGACCCTCAGTCTCTCATGAACCTCACGGAATTTAATTATCATTTTAGTTCAAGTGAAAAGCAATTATCGGAAATTCAGCTTTGGGTGCTGAGGGGGTTATGGTCAAGGGTGGCGGAGGTACCTGTATGCCTTGCCCTGAAATTCACCCATACACTGCGATAATGTTACTCCCAGAACTGCTAGTACAGTCGACAAACTGTTTAGAATATCTTGAGTGCTGAATACGTAGGTGTATATGAAATTGTGGATGGGGGGAGGGGGAGGGATAAATTCACATCGGAATACGCCCAGAGGGAAGTCAGAGGGTGGGTAGTCAATCGAAAGTTGTGAAAGCTGAATTTGCATGGTTCACTCCTGGGGACAAAACACCGTCCAATATCGGTCAGTACGCTGTTGTACAATTCTGTACACATTCACCTTTTTTTCCGCCTATCGCCTCAACTTCTGGGTATATTGATGCTTTTTAAGGGTCCGGCATAATATTTTTCTTCAATTTGCATTTCACTTGATGGAGAAAATTCAATTTGAGGATATTTTGTCATTTTTTTCATTTATGCTCAAAGAATAGTGGCTTTTAGGAGGTTTTCAACGATCGGAGACTGGTCATTAGTACGCTGAGAGAAATATTCAATAAAAATTACGTATATTTTCCGTAATTCTGGAGCGAAATGTGGTTGTCGGAAATTTTACGGAACTGTCACGTAATTTTTATTTAAAGTCACGGAATTTTTCCGCGGTGTTCCGTAATTTTTATCTGAATTATCGGTGAAAAATAACGATAGCGTCACTTAAATTTTTCGAATCAACTCCGTAATCGGTAAGTGAATTGAAAATTCCGTAATTTTTACTAAATATTTCTCTCCGTGTAAGTGCGCTCTGAAAAATGAAACTGAGTCCTGAAGAACTTGTTTTTGCAGTATGGACTGAAAAACTACGATTCTAACGTCACTTCGTTCGGCTTGGTCGCAGTTTTCTGGCCTTGTAATGAAAAAGTTGGTTTACCACTCGACCAAGAAATTATTATTTGACCCATGTGTCATAGTCCTCGTCTTCGGCTTGATTTATAGCTTTCCGAATTTTCCTCTTTCGCGGATTACACACGGGGAGCTCACTTCCAGCTTTGGCAACTTGGTCCACGGCCGAAATATCTAAGAGTTCACTTTTGAAATTGATGTTTATTAATGATTGAATTTCAATTAATTTTGACGATTATTTACTCCAATTCATTCGGCCGATTACTATTGGATTATATGACTTATTATTGAGAATATTTTACTCATTAAGATTATTGGTACAAAAATGAATTAGAGTGGAGAGAGCCGGAGTGTTAATATAAACATAAACAATGACTTCATAGGGAGAATGAACTGAGAGTTTTTTTGTTAATAGATGATCATATTATTTTGGTCTGTGCGACCGGTATTTAGTCTGCTCCAGCAGTCCGTAGAGTACAGACGTCACTTCCTAGTGTCATGTTAACAATAAAATAAAATAAAGTTCAATTCACTGCGTTTTTCTCATAATTTTTTCTTAACCCATTTCCATTAATTACTGTCTCCTGAAATTGTACTCAATTGCTAAATGATAAATGATTTAATATCCGAATTTGAACGCCTTTCATTTGCGATTCTCGAAAATTTCAGTGGATGAATCACTGACATTACAGCAACGAAATAGTATTTTTTACGCCTAGGACGGAAAAAGTGAATCTGACGAACGTGGCATTATAATCCGAACCGAAGGCGAGGATTATAACGCGCATGATGCTATTTTATGTAATTGTGGCTGAAATCACGTTTTACCGGCCACGATAACGTAAATATATTTTCTCTTCCTTAAATCTCGTTAAAAAAAATCATTCGAATATTAATTCAGTGATGAGAATCAATTGGAAAAATCTCCTAGTTTTTACCGCTATATTTTCAAATCGTTTGAATCGCATTTCCCTGGTCGATCTTTGAGATAAATATCAATAATTGAGCAATAATGGCATATTGAACGAGAATTGGTTAATTGAAGTCGAAAACAAATGAAAACCCCTTGCTCTTTTAATATAAGGTTGAAAAAAAAGTATATACAGATAATATAGAGGGAATAGAGAATAGAAGAGTCGTAGAGAGAAAAATAAATTTAGTTCAAGAGAAAAATCATTGATGATTCTTCACTTCCAAGATTTTTCCTTATTAATAAGAGCTGCTTATAACTTCAAACAAACGTCTGTTCCAGGAAAGATGTATTGGATTTTTTAATGAAAAATCCGTATTTATGCGGAGAATATTATTTTATATATTATAATATTGTATTTATTATATTTATCATACTAGCGTATACGGCGCGCAATGCGCGCCCAAGCTTACATGTATGGGGTATTATCATATAAAATCTTCATGTAAAATCTGCATATTAAAAGAATCTTAAGTATCTAAAAAAATTAGTCATAATTTAAGTTTTTTTCTTTAA